AGACATGAAGAAGAGGGGACACATGTTGATGTAGAAGAGACATGAAGAAGAGGGGACACATGTTGATGTAGAAGAGACATGAAGAAGAGGGGACACATGTTGATGTAGAAGAGACATGAAGAAGAGGGGACACATGTTGATGTAGAAGAGACATGAAGAAGGGGGGACACATGATGATGTGGAAGAGACATGAAGAAGAGGGGACACATGTTGATGTAGAAGAGACATGAAGAAGAGGGGACACATGTTGATGTAGAAGAGACATGAAGAAGAGGGGACACATGTTGATGTAGAAGAGACATGAAGAAGAGGGGACACATGTTGATGTAGAAGAGACATGAAGAAGAGGGGACACATGTTGATGTAGAAGAGACATGAAGAAGAGGGGACACATGTTGATGTAGAAGAGACGTAACTGTAAATGTGTATTTCAACATGCATTTCTATTTTATTGCTATTGAGATTATTTCTTGTCTTTTAATTTTATTGTACAATGCCACGTATTTTTATGCTGCTGCAACAAAACAATGTCCCAACCTGGGATCAAAAAGCACTTCTTATCTGATCTCATATAAATCAGTTATCGTGCATTATATTGACGTAGATCTGAAGTGTCTGACCCTTTGCGGAGGATCATGGTGAGCAGAGCGTCGGGTCCGAGCTGAGCGAGCAGAGACACGGCCTCCTGTAGCTCCTCCTCCTCCCTCTCATCGGAGACGTGATGCAGACCGAACTCACACTCCTGGAAGCGGTAGAACTGCGTGTCTTTATCCAGGAAGTTCAACTCGTGTTTCACTGGAGGCAGAAAACAGAGCAGGGGACACACAAATCATCACATGGTCGTTTGAGGTCCTTTCTTGGTATTTGTTGTTGTTGTTTTGGCCATGGTGTTGTTTATTTTTAAGTTGTTAAGACATTACAAAGGAAACAACAAATAACATACAGGTCACTGGGGTAATACATCATCAATATGTTCTCAGCAATTATTCTTGTGATACGGGAAGATCTCCCTAGCAACGGGTTCACAACCAATCTGTGTGAAACATACAGAAGAAGTTATGCAAGAATTATAGACTATTGTACCAAAAGGAGTAAAGCAAAAATAAACTAATTATCTTAGGGTTGTGTGACGTCCCTCTTCATGTGCAAAACCCATTTGGACCAGTAATTGTTTTCACTACAGAGTCTTAGAGAAAAATTCAGCCTCTCCATACGAAACAAGTCATTTACAATGCTTATCCATTCTCCCGTTGTTGGCGGATCTTTCACAAGCCATTTGTTGGTAATTGCCTTTTTGCTGGCTGTCAGTAATCATTTAAAGGGGACCTATCATGCAAAATGCACTTTTGTACGTCTTTTCTACATGAATATGTGTCCCCGGTGTTCCAGGGAACTCACCAAGTGTCAGAAAACACAACCCTCTCTATTTTCCTCCATACCCAAATCTCTTAAAAAGGGGCTGCAACGGATCTGATACAGACTGATCCAGATTTGAACACTTCTATGACGTCACAGAAGTGGCGCTACGGCTATTGGGCCAACTCCACCAATCAGGAGGAGACAGCCACGGACATTGCCGTTGGAAAGCGCTGGAGACGCTGTAGTACATATGCCAGGCCTGTAGGTGGTGCTGTTCTCACAGAATCAGCCCATGATGCAAAGACAGTGTTACATTGAGCGAAATGAGGAATGGCTAAAATGCATGAAAAATAAAAAGTATAAATATGCCTTATATAGGTATGGTCCTACACTATATTATTCAAATATAGCATGATAGGTCCACTTTAAGAAGATACTTGTCCCGAACACTAAATTCCACTGATATATTAGCTAAAAAAATCCCATCGAAACTGTTTGGAATCTCAAAGCCAATAATTAAATTTATTTCCGTTATTACAGATAGCCAATAGGGTTTGATCACTGGACAGTTCCAGAATATGTGGAAATGATCAGCCATAATATTACTACACTGCCTCCAGCAGTGCCCAGATTCTGGTCTGTCATTCTGATGGTATTTTATTCTTGGAGTTAGAAAAAATCAAATAATATTCTTCCATGAGAATTCTCTCCAAAGGCCAGAGCTGGAGGTGGTGGGTTGTATTTGACATGTAGACCATTCCTCTTCTGTAATAGTAATATTAGCTTCTACCTCCCATGGTGTTGTTTCATTCCCTTTGTGTTCATTTGCATATCCTTAAAGTATCTTTGCACATGTCTCTTTAAGTTGCTTAATATTCAGTTTGTGGACATCATCTTTGTCATCACTCAATCAGACCTTCGGAGGAACAGCGGTTACAGAAATACGAGACACAGATTAGTTCCGAAAAAGGACACATTTTGACCTTGAGGATAATTAGTTTGACGATGACATGTTGATTTGATCTGAAAATAAATGGATTCTCATATGCATTTATTCAGAGCGACCGCTCCATGTGATGATGGAGTTTCTACGTCCTGATTGAAGCGCTCTCCTGCAGGAAACAGAATCTCGTAACGTGGTCAGCGAACACTCGACTGAGCGAGGACTCTGCAGATTTCAAGATTTCTCAAGTGCAGCCTGAGAGATTAATACCTGAATATATTCACACACTTCTACAGAGCAGATAATGAGACATGAGTGACCTCTTTTGCAACTCTTTGTAGATGCAGTTATTTTTAATCGTTTTTTACAACTCTTTGTAGTAAAAGTTTGTTATTTCTTGTAATTGTAAAAGTAATTTCTTTCCGATTGTTTTGTAAAAAAACAAAAAGCAAACAAATTAACAAGACAAACATGTCGCTGATGACGATGACCTAATATTTTATTTATAAGAAAAATATATGCTCGAGGGGGAAGGACCAGAAACGTTTTTTTAAGCTTCTTCTTGCCCCTGTTGAACATGACAGAGACTATCTGAGAATTATGATGTGTGACGTTTTGCGTGTTTTTTGGGATTATTTTTGCGTCTACTTTTGGTCATATTGC